GCCCTTCACCCTAGCCCTCCCCCTCCAACCAAAAGAGAATTGGGACAACCCTACCCCTTCACGTGTACGCGCAAAACGGAGGGGAAGGGGAAAGTGAAGGGGTAAGGGGTAGAATTGGGATTGGCCCTTAGCATACTTTTTTTTCACTAGGGTTCCCTACCTTCAAAGTGGGGAATGGCAGAAAAAGTTTGAGAAACACTGGTATAGGCTAATCTGCTCTTTACCAATATGCCTAGTAATTGCTGACAACATCTGGCCTTTATAATCAATCTGGAATGTAAACAAAGCATTTCAAGGTATACATTTCAAAGAAGACTATTATACTTGAATGAATATGAGGTGCGAGAAAAACAAAATTCATCAGGTGCTATCCAGGTGCTTTTCAATGAAGCTGCCTCAGTATAATAGCCTACCGCTGTCACGCAATTTGTGCTTCGGAGAAGCGCGGTCGCGCTCATGGCTGGCCATCTACACTTATTTGTTGCGCCTCGGCTTAAACGCGAATGCAATGATTTTCATGACGACTAAATATTTTTGCTTTGGTATATTAAAGGATGCTCTGTGCAAAACAACACTATTTAATTATTATTTACCGCTTATATTTTGTTTTGACAATACAGTCGATGTCTACGGTCAGGAATTTACATCAATTTTAACATATATAAATATATATAAATGTTATGCTATTATTGCTTATTAAAACCATATTGATTTAACCTAAGCCAAGTCATTTCCAGAAGTGGTCCAGATCACAGAGCCGGAGCCTGAACATGATTCGGCCCAGTGTTTTACAGCCGTAACAAAAATGCATGTTCCAGAGACAGCCTAAATGAAGCTAGGGGGCGGGGATCGGTCCCGGACACGCCTCCTGTCCACGGACAGCCTAAATGAAGCTAGGGGGCGGGGATCGGTCCCGGACACGCCTCCTGTCCACGGACAGCCTAAATGCAGCTAGGGGGCGGGGATCGGTCCCGGACACGCCTCCTGTCCACGGACAGCCTAAATGAAGCTAGGGGGCGGGGATCGGTCCCGGACACGCCTCCTGTCCACGGACAGCCTAAATGAAGCTAGGGGGCGGGGATAGGTCCCGGACACGCCTCCTGTCCACGGACAGCCTAAATGAAGCTAGGGGGCGGGGATCGGTCCCGGACACGCCTCCTGTCCACGGACAGCCTAAATGAAGCTAGGGGGTGGGGATCGGTCCCGGACACGCCTCCTGTCCACGGACAGCCTAAATGAAGCTAGGGGGCGGGGATCGGTCCCGGACACGCCTCCTGTCCACGGACAGCCTAAATGAAGCTGGGGGGCGGGGATCGGTCCCGGACACGCCTCCTGTCCACGGACAGCCTAAATGAAGCTGGGGGCGGGGATCGGTCCCGGACACGCCTCCTGTCCACGGACAGCCTAAATGAAGCTAGGGGGCGGGGATCGGTCCCGGACACGCCTCCTGTCCACGGACAGCCTAAATGAAGCTAGGGGGCGGGGATCGGTCCCGGACACGCCTCCTGTCCACGGACAGCCTAAATGAAGCTAGGGGGCGGGGATCGGTCCCGGACACGCCTCCTGTCCACGGACAGCCTAAATGAAGCTAGGGGGCGGGGATCGGTCCCGGACACGCCTCCTGTCCACGGACAGCCTAAATGAAGCTAGGGGGCGGGGATCGGTCCCGGACACGCCTCCTGTCCACGGACAGCCTAAATGAAGCTAGGGGGCGGGGATCGGTCCCGGACACGCCTCCTGTCCACGGACAGCCTAAAGGCTTGTTCGACTTCATGCAGCTCTGCGTAGACCGATCGGCGGCTGACTTGAAGCAGTGCATGCCGGTTAGAAATTTTGTCCGACTTGATGCAGCGCTGACTCCACGTGACTGTGATGTATGCCATCAAAGTACCGCGAGAGCGATACGAGAGTAGCCGGAGGACTCAGCCAGCGCAGCTTCTCAAGAGCGGCTGCACGAGCTCTGATGATGTCACAGCTGTTCCACGATTCGTCGGATTCAACGCATGACAACGATCACGTGCGCTTCGTGTTTATTCTCGCACATTTAGTTCCACTAAAGCTCACAAATCTGTTTTCTACAACAGTAAACAGTCTTTTTATGTAGTCCCGATGTTATATTGTGTCATGTTTATCAGGTTTATCAAAATAAAACTGATTAAAAAACGTTGACTCCACGTCATTGATTATAGGCTTATTTTGAACTTTATTCCAGTTCAAACAGATGCTGTATGAAGCAGTAAAGTGTTGAATGAAAATGTGTCTGAAATATCTGTTTATTTGGCAAATGTTGAATTTATTTCACTTAGGCTGTGGTAAAGCATGCAAACACCACGTGAGCCGTCAGTACGGGAACCAGAAATTGTCCGACTTCACGTCTCCATTTGCAGCTCCTCCCCGCCTGCACGCGGCTATTCTCGCCAATCGGTTGCATCCAGCCGCAGGCGATGTCGAACACACCTTAAATGAAGCTAGGGGGCGAGGATCGGTCCCGGACACGCCTCTTGTCCACGGACAGCCTAAATGAAGCTAGGGGGCGGGGATCGGTCCCGGACACGCCTCCTGTCCACGGACAGCCTAAATTAAGCTAGGGGGCGGGGATCGGTCCTGGACACGCCTCCTACAGCCTAAAAGTCCCCCTTACAGTCTATTTCCGGCACACCCGCTCCAGGCCATTGGCTGAAGTCACGGGGTGGGCGGGGCCATCCACGGAGAGCCTATTTGTCGCCTAACAGCCTAAATGAAGCTAGGGGGTGAGGATCGATTTGTGGTTTCCAAAAACTCACCCAAGTTGAAAACAGCATCCAACCTGTAACGTATTCGACAGGGCCCCTGTGAGCTGTTCGTGGACAGTATAATTTTACGCAAGTTTTTCATAATTAATATATGTAATGAGATCGCAGTATTATACAATGGGTGTCAATGGGCCATTACAACCTGGCAGCTGAAACTTTTTCTGCTTTTTTCTCCAAAAATCTCATAAGTTTTAAATTAATTAGAAATGAGAAAATGTGACCAAATATTTGTAAACTGAACATAAAGAGCTTCATTTTGATAGGAAACACATTAAAAAAACCTTGAAATTTGAAAAGAAAAAGAGCAGCATCCCAGAAGAGGAAGATAATGAGAACAATCACTGGCCTGTAATATAATTATATTAATAAAATATAATAATGTATTTCTGATCAAGTAAATACAGGCTTAAGAGTTCTAATAAGAGTTCTTTTAAGATAAAAAATAAATTCTGCATGTTTAAATGCTCATCAGGCCTGCATTACACCGAAAAGGTACACTTTTTCTTTTTTTATATATTTATTAAACGGGAAACGCAGGTGCGCTCAACAGTCCTGTTTTATTTCTCAGGTACCTCAGTTACGGCAAACAGAAGCAGCCGGGAGACTGTGTGGAGATCCTCGATGTGGCTCTCGGGGATTTCCTGGCCGTGATGGGAAAACTCCAGGGTCCAGATGCCATATCCGGGGAGGAGCTTGACAAGGACGAACGCCTGCTGGTCCTCTACTACTTGGAGGCGGTCGTCATGCTCAAACACCTCCAGCGGCCCGGCGTTGTCAGCAACATGACCGTAAGTGTATTTTGTATAACATTCATCAACGCCTCACGTTTTTTGATTATTAGTGAGACCTGTCATTGAGTGTGTACGCCTGTGTGTTTGCAGGTCGAGGAATGGCAGGGGAGAAAACACACCGAGAACGGCTGTTGCGTGGCGGTGAAGGAGCACAAAACGGCCGCATCGCAAGTCGCCGAAGTTCCTCTGACCCCTGAACAGGAACTTGTACGTTTGATTTCAAAATGACATTATAACTGACAGTGTGTGTGTGTGTGTGTGTGTGTGTGTGTGTGTGTGTGTGTGTGTGTGTGTGTGTGTGTTTGTGTGTTTTTGAATGTATTTATTTCTTTTCCCCAGTGGTTTCGCCTCTACTTTGCCGAGATTCGGCCGGTGATGCTACGGGGTCCGAAGTCAGGGGACGACCCGATGACCCGAAGTCAGCTTGGACTTCCTGATAAAGTCCAAGTCCACAGAGACCTTTGCCTTTTTTTCCTGCTGGCTGGGGAACTACCGATGAAAATGAGCTCTTTTAGCTAACTCGGGTACATTTTCATTGTTCTGATGTTGATTAATGTGTACACTGTCCCCCCTTACAAATAAATAAAATGAAGAGCGAGAGGGAGCGTATATGGGTGTAAAATGTGTGTGGTGGCAGTGGGGCTCATTGGGTGCTCAGCACCCCTAAAGCTCGGACCCTAGAATCGCCTCTGAAGTCCACTGAGACCAAGGACGACCTCACCCAACTCCGGCGCGCTGACACGGGCCCAGCCACCATACTGAACTACATTAAGAACATGACCCGGTTTGTTCAGTATTTAAAGACCCACCTGAACTTGGGTGAAGCAGATCTGGACTTCTACAGGAAGTGCCAAGCGTACCTCGACCTCCTCGCTACCATCAGAAAGCCAGTGGCCAAGTCACACAGCAAGGTCACCTGTAAAACAAGGCCAGTTGCTAATCTGCTTTCCATTTGTTTTCTTTAATGACTTCATGTTGATGATACTTCTGTGCTGGCTGTACATCGGGGGTTATGTGATACAGGTGTATACTGTATACAGGTGTGTGTAATCACATTGTTGTCTTGTATGTCATTCTAGGTATGAACGGTTCCAAGAGGGCGAGAAGAGCCTTCATGAGTGCCAGTCCTCCGGAAGGCCAAAAACGACATGCTGTCCATTTACGGGAGACTGCTGGAAGGTGACCACGTGGCGTCAGAGGAAAAGACCATGTTCTGCTACTATTGCGAAGCAATCCTGATCCTCGGTCACTTCCAGAGACCAGGAGCGGTGGAGGGAGTAACAGTAAGTGTTAAGACCTCAGCTTTCATGGGGCCATAAGCCTAAACAGATTATGTTAGCTAGTCTGCGAAGAGGACATTCACTCTGTTTATTTTTTGTTTGTTTGTTTTTTTAAGACGGCAGAGTGGGATAAACGAAAGACTTCTGGGGGAAAGATTTGCGTGGCAGTTAGTGAACACAAGACTGCGACAATGCAGATCGCCGTGTTTGCCCTCACAATGGAGGAGGCAGCAGTAAGTACACTTACAGACTAAATTTGCTTTACCATGAGATACAGTAACACCAGCAATGATATTAACCGATGTATTTATTTTATTTACTTTTTGTCTCTGCAGATGCTGGATGCATACTATACTTGGATCCGCCCGGACTTCATCCGGCCGGATGTAGACAGTGCAGACAGGTTGTTTGTTTCTTCGTCAGGCACGAAAATTAAGAGTGCGACCAACGTCCTCACTCGTCTGCACATTCAGTAAGTATTGACAGCAGTCCAAAAGACCATAAAGTAGCATTTATTAAACGGATCAGCCTCTAGAAAATTATATAGTTCAAGTTTGGGAGTTTCATCTGATATTTCTGCCCCATTGCAGCTACAAACTGCCCAACATCACGAGCCAGCAGATACGTCGGACCGTGGAGACAGATGTGGCTGCCAACTTCACAGAGGAGCAGAAGGCGTCTGTGGCCCACTACATGGCCCATTCGAATGCAGTGGCAAACCAGCACTATAGGATGAAGACCCTAGATGCTATTGTGGCCACTTCAAACCTGCTCAGCTCCCTGACACGGTATGTAATTATCTGTAATATAATTCTGTTATAAATCTGTTACAATTATAATGTCTCTCAACGCCCATCCATCAGTTCGTTAGTGTGTAACCTCCAGACCTTTTCAATATTGCAGCTCCTCTTCTGATGACTCTGGCGACGAGGGCACCCAGGCAGTGAAGAGAAGGCGGGTGGAAGAAGAGGTTGGCAGCCCAGCCCCGGACTTTAATGCTTTCCTGCAGGCCTTCCCTGTGGGAATCACTGGCCAACCACCCAACAAGACCCAGAGAGAAAAAGCTGGGTTCCCTGCCGACAGAGTCTTTTATGACAAGTGGAGGGCTCTGCAGTACAGCCTTCGGGAGCAACATCTTTTGTGTAAGTGTATATACTTCCTTATGATCCAATGATTAGATTTGCTCCAACAGAAACATTTTGAACTAGTGTGTGAACCTGAATTTTAATTCAAATGTGCTCTCTTTGACAGCAAAATTCTCAAGACGTACCCCAACTGCAGCGATGGTGGCCAAAGTCATAGATGCAGAGGGCTGGACGGCCAATCATCCTCGTCCAGAGGACATCATGGCGAAGTGGAGGCCGCTCAGCAGAGCACAGGCGGAGAGTGACCCGGGCATCATCAAGGGGGTGACCAGGCAGAAATGGTCGGGTCTGGCTGTGAAGGCCTTTGGGGAGCAGAAAGGTATGTACAACTGTCTTATGAGCACAGTAAAATCCATAAATAAAATGAATATAATAACATCATGAACAGCACATTAATGACTCCCTCTTTTTGACCACAGGCGTTGTTGCAACCAAGGCCTTCGGGAAGGGCTCCATCCTGTGTGATTTCCACGGAAAGGTGATCACAGGTGCTGAGGGCAGGGAGATGGCAGAGACGCAGGACGAGCTGGGAAACCTGTTTTTCTTCAAACATGGCCCTGACGAAATCTGCATCGATGCGGAGACTTTCCCCTGTGAGTGCCACCCGTCTCTGGAAACCATCGGGAGATGGATTACACACTCAAAGAAGAAGTGCAACGTGCAGCCATGCCACTGCATAGTGAAGCTTCAGGGGGGAGACAGGCACGTCCTGCTCTTTCAGGCCACCACGGACATTAAGAAAGATGATAAGATCTGCTTCGACCACGGCATCAAGAAGAGGACTTTTCGTGGGGAGGAAGAGGAGCTGGAATGGCTGGACATTTGATCACCTGTAAAACAAGGCCAGTTGCTAATCTGCTTTCCATTTGTTTTTCTTTAATCAATTCCTCCATGTTGATATAACTTATGTGCTGGCTGTACATCAGGGGTTATGTGATACAGACATGTGTGTAATTCTCCAACAAATTGTTGTCTTGTATGTCATTCTAGGTATGAACGTTTCCAAGAGGGCTAGAAGAGCCTTCATGAGTGCCAGTCCTCCCGGAAGGCCAAAAAGGACATGCTGTCCATTTATGGGAGGCTGCTGGAAGGTGACCACGTGGCGTCAGAGGAAAAGACCATGTTCCGCTACTATTGCGAAGCAATCCTTATCCTCGGTCACTTCCAGAGACCAGGAGCGGTGGAGGGAGTAACAGTAAGTGTTTAGACCTCAGCTTTCATGGGGGCTTTCAACTTGCAATCTCACAGAGTTAATTGTAAAATGAATTTTCCATTTAATTGCTGAGATTTTACTCTGTGTTGTTGTTTATAGCCAGCAGGCACGTGCAGAGGGGGGGGCGTTGGGTGCTCGAGCACCTGCCCTTTTGCCCTTTGGTGCCCAAAGTGCCCTTTTGTCAAGACAAAATTTCCTCTCCTTTTTTTGTATTTAAAGGCACTTTTGTGGATGCCTGCCCCACTAGTAGTAAAATGAATGAATAATAATTTAGCCGTTTGCGGCTGCTGGTAAGTGGTGTTCTATTCTCAGCGAAGTGATTTTGATGTTTGTTTACTTATTATTATTATTTTACTAGAACGACGTGAAGAGAGCATGCAGAGAGATATTGTTTGTATTGCTGTGTGTAGGCTGTAGAAGTAACGTTAGCTTGCTGTTTGAGGGAGAAAAGTTTCACGGGCGTGGAGGGGTGTTATTTGACTAAAAACTATTATTTGTACTTTAAACTATTATTATTATTACAGTATTTATTAAAAAAAATATTTTCACATAAAAATGATTATCACAACTCTGGTAAGTTATCGCATAGGCTTACCAGTTAGTATCTTATGTTTTGTGTGCAGAAGCCTGTGAACATCTGCCCTAGTAACGTTACTATTATATACTATTATTGTATTATTATACTATAGCAGCCTGGGCAGAATCTGTAGCTTTAGCAGGTCAGTGAACTAGTGAGCCAGTTCCAAACACTGTCAGCAATCTTTACATCTTGTCATGGTCACATAAAAATGGTTTAATCAGCCAATACCCTATATCTCTGTTTATTTTAATGTCTACAGTCTCAGATCAACTCCAGCAGTATCATCATCATCATCAGCAGCAGTAACAACATCAACAGCAAAGGCAGCAAACTCACTTAATGACTTGAGTAAGAATTTACCAGAACAGGCATCACATTAATGTTAAAAATCTTGTAAAGTATTAATTGCTGTTTCTGTTTGCTTTGTTTTTATTTTCATTGTATAAAATGTAACTCTTGTATTTTTGTAAATCACTTTTTGCCATGAAAATAGCCACAGATGCTGATATGCCATTAAATAAAACTATACTGTACTGCACGAAACATGGGCCAGGTTGATTTTGTCCTACACAGTTCACTATAACAGCTGTTCTTTATTATTCTGAATAACAGAGAAGAAAAAGCCATCAGGTTGGGACAATTTAAGATGCTTCAGTTTCTAATCCCAGAGTTATATATATAGAGCACATAAATTATTTTTTTAAATTTTAAACTTTAAATTTGTCTTTTCTGTTCTGTTTCTTTTTCAAAACTGCATCAATTAATTTGCTGCTGTATCAATGCTGTATATTACTGTATTGATATTTTGAGCACAGCCCTATAAAGTCTTGTTTCCATGTGCCCCATTTTATACTTTGAGCACCTGCCCCTCCAGAGGTCTCTGCACGGCCCTGATAGCCAGTATTGAGAGTAACCCGGCCTATAAAAACCTCTGGAGGTTTTACGGGCACTTTTCGGCCTTTGCTGTCATCTCTTTACGGCCACAGGGGAGGTGTTTCGCAGAACATGATGATCCAGGAGGTGCAGGGGGCTCGATACTCCACCATGGAGAAGGCACGTTATATGTTATAAATGTGAGTGTTTGTCATATTGCACCCCATAAACACAATCATGCAAAGAAAAAAAGCATGACATGTGTGACATGAAGCCGCAAAAGCTGCGCTACATTTAGAATTGATTGTGATTTATTAAGGGAAAATTGCATAGGATGTGCGTGCGCACGGTTTTATACATCCGAATATTTCTGTGCGTACGCACGTCCTATGTTTCATCCGTATGCCACTTCTGACGCAAATCCGACACAAAGTTTTATAAATGAGGCCCCAGGGGCCTCATTTATAAATGTTGCGTACGCACAAAAGAAGCGTATGCTGTTCTCTACGCAATAGTTTGTATTTATAAAAAGCAAACTTGACAGTAAAATGTGCGGTCCTTCACGCAAGCTCTGACCCAGGCGTACGCACAAAAACGGGTGAAATGGGAAATGGCCAGTGGTGTAGTGCAGGGTATACGCAGGTATACGGCGTATACCCACTTCCTTATCAGTCGGCATTGCGTATACCCACTTCTAAATCCCCTCTGATGCGCATCATTTAGTTGCTAATCCAATTTCGTGAATAAAAAAAAACACCCAGTTAGAGTCGTAACGTTACCCGTAATATTTGGCCTAACTCTAATTTGTTGCTGCAATGATTCTCCCATCGCGACGATAACTGGCCTTCTCATCTGATCTGCTTCAGCACTCAAACACCTGCTCTTCAATGTTAAAATGTTCGTGAGACCAAAGAATGCAGTATTTTTGTTCATAAAAGCGCGAGCCGAGCGCGAATCCCAACGCGACGCTTCGCTTCAGTTAACGATCATACAGTGTGAGATAAGATGCAAGTAGCTCAAATTTACGGCTGTTTTTCAATAGACGTTTTAAATGACCGACAGAAATTATCAGTTTGATTAAAGACAGTGGAAATTTTAAGCTCAATTTAACAACACAAGTACGCTAATCAAATATATTGCCATTATTATTGTATAAATATATTTGTATAACTTTTTTTTGAATGTGTTTGACTTTTCACTGCTTGTATAACTCCGCTTGTCTGTGTTTGCGCCACTTGCATCATTAAGCCAGAGGGTGGCAACAAGTGACTGTCTTTTTGAGTGAGCAATTGAACCATACCATACCATACCATACCATCTTCTTCCGCTCATCCGGGGCCGGGTCGCAGGGGCAGCAGTCTAAGCAGAGATGCCCAGACTTCCCTCTCCCTAGATACTTCCTCCAGCTCTTCTGGGGGGATACCGAGGCATTCCCAGGCCAGCCGGGAGACATAGTCTCTCCAGCGTGTCCTAGGTCTTCCCCGGGGCCTCCGCCCAGTGGGACGTGCCCGGAACACCTTCCCAGGAAGGCGTCCAGGAGGCATCCGGAACAGATGCCCGAGCCACCTCAGCTGACCCCTCTCGATGTGGAGGAGCAGCGGCTCTACTCTGAGCTCCTCCTGAGTGACCGAGCTTCTCACCCTATCTCTAAGGGATCGCCCAGCCACCCTGCGGAGAAAGCTCATTTCAGCCGCCTGTATCCGGGATCTTGTCCTTTCGGTCATGACCCAAAGCTCATGACCATAGGTGAGAGTAGGAACGTAGATTGACTGGTAAATCGAGAGCTTTGCCTTACGGCTCAGCTCCTTCATCACCACAACAGATCGGTACATCGACCGCATTACTGCTGAAGCTGCACCGATCCGTCTGTCAATCTCCCGTTCCATCCTTCCCTCACTCGTGAACAAAACCCCAAGAAACTTAAACTCCTCCACTTGAGGAAGGATCTCTCCACCAACCTGAAGTGGGCAAGCCACCCTTTTCCGGCTGAGGACCATGGCCTCGGATTTGGAGGTGCTTATTTTCATCCCAGCCGCTTCACACTCGGCTGCAAACCGTCCCAGTGCATGCTGAAGGTCCTGGTATGAAGGGGCCAACACGACAACATCATCCGCGAAGAGCAGAGACGAAATCGTGTGGTCCCCAAACCTGACGCCCTCCGGCCCCTGGCTGCGCCTAGAAATTCTGTCCATAAAAATTATGAACAAAACCGGCGACAAAGGGCAGCCCTGCCGGAGTCCAACATGCACCGGGAAGAAGTCTGACTTACTACCGGCAATGCGAACCAAGCTCCTGCTTCGGTCATACAGGGATCGGACAGCCCTTAGCAAAGGACCCCGGACCCCATATTCCCGGAGCATCCTCCACAGGCCGCCTCGGGGGACACAGTCGAATGCCTTCTCCAAATCCACAAAACAAATGTGGACTGGTTGGGCAAACTCCCATGAACCCTCCAGCACCCTGTAGAGAGTATAGAGCTGGTCCAGTGTTCCACGGCCAGGACGAAAACCGCACTGTTCCTCCTGAATCCGAGGTTCCACTATCAGCCGTATTCTCCTCTCCAGTACCCTGGCATAGACTTTCCCAGGGAGGCTGAGAAGTGTGATTCCCCCTATAGTTGGAACACACCCTCTGGTCCCCCTTCTTAAAAAGAGGAACCACCACCCCGGTCTGCCATCCCAGAGGCACTGTCCCCGACCGCCACGCGATGCTGCAGAGGCGTGTCAACCAAGACAGCCCCACAGCATCCAGACACTTGAGGTATTCGGGGCGGATCTCATCCACCCCCGGTGCCTTGCCACAGAGGAGTTTCTTGACTACCTCGGTGACCTCAGCTAGGGTGATGGACAAGTCCACCTCTGAGCCCTCAGCCTCTGCTTCCTCAATGGAAGACGTGACGGCGGGATTGAGGAGGTCCTCGAAGTATTCCTTCCACCGTCCGACGACATCCCCAGTCGAGGTCAACAGCCGCCCACCCCTACTGTAAACAGCATTGGTAGGGGACTGTTTCCCCCTCCTGAGGCGCCGGACAGTTTGCCAGAATTTCTTCGAGGCCAGCCGATAGTCCTTCTCCATGGCCTCACCGAACTCCTCCCAGGCCCGAGTTTTTGCCTCCATGACCACCCGGGCCGCAGTCCGCTTGGCCTGCCGGTACCTGTCA